GTAGTTAAAGTAATGTTTTTTGCCTTATGTTCTCAGGAATCCTGCATCTCTTCAGAATCATATCTTTCAAGAACCAAACATAGCAGCTTCAGAGAGTATTTCTTCCACTCCTCATAACCAAATAAGAGAAGGTATGGACAGTACTTAATGAAGGGTGTATTCACAGTTGTTATCACCTATTCTTTAAACCTAGTATTGGATTTGATGTCTTGTTATTCTTGAGGAGAACAGAAATCTACTGAGTGATGATTGTTTTTTTCTCTAGGTGTGAAATTATACTATAAGAAGATTTGAATAAAAATAATTGGCTTTGTGGATCAGTTGAGAGCATCTATTTGTTAGAAATGGTAGGAGGGTACTCGGAGGTATTTGTAGACATCTGGAGAATTACCTTGCTCTGGAATTAACAGGCTTTGTATTTAAGCTGTTACTGTCACTGGGAGCTCAGAGTAGTTCGTATCATGTTAAAGTACACATCCACTGACTAATTAGCCAAATGACTTCTGATTGTTTTGACTGCAGTGAGAATACTGCATTACCTAGCTTGTGTCTGGATAACTAAAATTGAAAGGATTAATTTTGGACTGAATCCCACTCCTTTCAATTCATGTACATGTTGTATCTCTTCAGCTTCTCATTAACTGGATCTGATGATACAGTTTTGTGATATATTTTTTTCTTCCTGTTCAGAACCTAGTGGTGAAGACAGTCATGGACCAGGATCTTCTGGATTTCTAACTAATAGACAGATGGGCGCAGAATACCCAAGGTAATGAAGCTGAAGCTTTGACTTCAGAAATACTGTTTTAAACTAAGAACTGCTGAATTAGGCATTTAGGAAAAAGCACTGGTGTACCGATTTTGTATATTCAGCATTTTGTAGAAAGGCCTCCCTGCTTAATGGAAACATATGGTGAATTATACAGTGCTACGTCTTCATAAGATCTCAGTTTCTACTCAGACACAAATATGAAAGATGCAGAATTGGCAAGCAAAAAATGTGTGAAGAGTTCAAGCTGAATCCTTCTAAAATTCTGTGGGTTTTTAATGAAAAATTTCAGGTTTCTTAAAATAGGGATTTTGTAAGTTAGCTACAAAGAAAATGTGTCTTAAGATACTGAAACTGGAGAATAAGACAAAACGTTAGGAAGAACATTAATGGACTTAAGAACTGATGGAAAACAAATGGAAGTTACTCTGGCGTGAATAGATGCGTCATAGTGCACAGCATTCATGTGTAGATGTAGTCTTCTGGGTAAGAATACTTAATTCTTTACAAATGGCCATGTTACGGAAAGCAAACCAGTGTACTTTAGCATAAACCCACTATTTAATAGAGGTTATCAAGACAGAAGGAATGAGCTCCCTGGATAACTCAGTTCCTAAATAGCAGTGATTTCTTTGGAACATAGATTTTTTTTTTTTCTCCAACAAGAATTAAATCTTAGTTGGCACATGAAGAGGGAGAGGCTTGCACTTCATGTGAAACAAACACTTGGCTTTACTGACCCTAAAGCGATAACTGACTTCTCTGCAGGTACCCTCAAGGAAGCAGCATTGCAGGAGAACTGGTTAAAGGAGCTTTGTCGGTTGCTGCTTCTGCCTACAAAGCATTGTTTGCTGGACCACCTGTTACAGAACAGGTAAATGTCTTACCTGTATGCTGTGTGACTTTCATAGGATGCCAATCTTAAACTTACAGGACTGTCTCTTATAAATGTGTCAATAGTCTATATAGGACTTCACGTGATAGTAAAATATTAAGCTCATTGGCATCCCTTTGAAGTGTGTGACTACACCAGCAGATTGGGAAATCTGCTGTGATCCCATGGGGATCACAGACTAGTAGAGATTGAAAGGGACCTCTGCAGATGATCGCATCCACCCCCCCTGCTAGAGCAGGATGGCCCAGAGAAGATCACCCAGGAACATGTCCAGGGGTGTTTTGAATGTCTCCAGAGAGGGAGACTCCACAGCCTCTCTGGGCAGCCTGGTCGAGGACTCTGGTACCCTCACAGTAAAGATTTTCCTTATGTTTAAGTTGAACCTCCTGTGGTTTAGCTTGTGACCATTGCCGCTTGTTGCTGGGCACAACCGAGAAGAGTCTGGTCCCATCCGCCTGAAACACCACCCTTTAGATATTTATAAGCATTAATGAGATCCCCCCTCAGTCTCCTGCAGGCTAAAAAGCATGTCTTTGACAGTGTCATGAAAGAGTAGTAATTCACATTTGTAAGTGAGCAGTGAAAGTGGACAGTTTAATTGTGGACAAAAGGGCCTCTGCGCCTTAATTACGTACCAGTATAATGCAGGACCACTGCTTCAAATGACAAATTGTCTTTTTATAGCTTATCTTACTATCTTTTGTTTTCAGCCACCTGCAGCTACAGAAGAGCACACTGCTGCTCTTCTATCCAGTCTGTGTGAGATGGGGTTCTGTGACAGGCAGTTAAACCTGCGGCTGCTGAAGAAACACAACAATAATATGGTTCAAGTGGTAACTGAGTTGCTTCAGATCAGTAATAGCGACTGGTACAGCAATAGGTGCTGAACCTTCCTGGTGGAGGGAGGAATTCTCTTCATTGCGTAAATTCTCATTAAACCCTGCAACAGTAACAGGCTGCTCCTTAGCTGCTTTCTGTTTGGAGGTGTAACTAAAACTGGCTTTTCTTTGAGCTTTTGACTTTTGTTTTCTTACGGAAATGTGAACATGGCTTGTCACACCATCTTAGGAATTGGAGACCAGAATTTCAACTGTTATTTGGACCTCATAGTTAAATGAGTAGTCTCTAATTTCAGACTAGATCCTCTTATCAGGGAATCTGTAGAATTACTTTAAACTTCCATCTAGATGAGAACTTCCCTTTTTATTGTAAGATTTTTTTTTTTTATTAGGCAGCTGGAAACTGTAGAAACTTGTTCTGTTGACTTTTTAACAAGCTTTGGAATAGGAACCAATGTAAAATGCCGCTGTAAAATGTAGTCTCGCCTAATTTACAGGAGATGCCCACAACTAGCAAGTTGTTTCTTCTGATATGACTTAGTAATTGATTTGTCCAATGCCTGATACTGATGTAACAGACTTTAATGATTCTTAGAAGGAAATGTTTGCTCATACATGAAAGCCATCGTGAACCATCAAGCAACTTTTGAAAAGTCTGAAAGTGTAACCACTGTGGATGAACGATGAATACCAGGAAAGTAATTGTTTCTTGTAGCAGAATGAAGCAAGAGAGTGAATTTACCAGCAGCAATTGAACCATCTCTAGTAATGATGGTGCAAACCAGATCTTTAACAGGAAAATACAGCCAGCTAAAATACTCTGTTAAAAATGGAGTGTAAGGGTAGGAAGGGCCTTTTTAAGAGTCTTTACAGGCTCTCTGTAAAAAAGTTAAACACTTGACTACTGTCTTTTTTTTCAGTATAATGCAAATGTCTTATTCTGTTAATACCACATAGAAGAATTGAAAAACGTACACCTGAATTGGAGTACAAATTCTGGTGATGTTTAGGAATGTGAAGAGTGCTTGAGGTAGGGGTTGTGTGACTTATGTTCTAGTTTGAAAAATGCATTAATTTAAGCAGTTTAAAGTGTGCAGTCTCCTGTGATGGTTCTAGCTGCTTCCGTTTTTTTATAGACACTCGTTTTTCTGACAAGATTTTGCTTTAGATGCCCATGTTTAATTTTGAAATCTAATAATTCCCTTCTAAATGTGTTGGGAGAGATTTGATTCCGAAGAATCACCAGAAATGAGCGACAGACACTGCTGTGCAGTGGTGTATCCATAGATAACTTCCTGGAGTCCAGTCCGTCTGAAGGTGACAGCAGTGTTGGCTACATTCTTACTTTCAAGGACTTTTTTTTTCCTAGTTGCAGTGAGAGACTGTTGATCCTTAAATATTTCTGCTGCTTCAAACTAAGGTGTTCCTGTTCTGTCACAGTGTAGCTGAAGCAGTATCAGTATTGTGACTAGCCAGGTGATCCGTAGTAGTAATTTTTTAAAAAGACATAATGCCCTTAAAGATAAAATACTATTAAAATAATTGAAGAAAAAAATGTATCATACCATTTTTGTTGTAAACCTATTTTTATAGATTGTGGAAGATACACTCTTAAATGCTTATTTTGAAATACAGTAGAACTATTTTGCAGTGTTTCCCATGTCTCTGTACACCAGTACTGTCGTCTGCTGTGGACCAGATGAAGATCTTTCTAGGACTTGAAGCTACTGGGTTTTTTCCCCACCTTAACTTACTCCTCCACGAGGAGGAGGACAGGACATGGTTGAAGTGCAGCAGCAGGTGCAATTGTCTACTTTGACCGGGAATGCCCAACAGGATGGCTTCTCTGCCTGTGCGTATCTGCACACTTGGACTGTTAACATGTTCAGTACATTAATGAGACACTAAGATATTTGAGGAGGAACACTTCATTGCAGAAATTGAAGCATGAAATGCTGTTTTCTTTTGGTTACTTTCTACTAGAGTTTAGATAATGTATGTTCAGGCTTCAAATAGATCTATTCCTGTTGGCTTTGTATATTTTGTTAATGGATGCATGGTATAATTTATAATAAATTCTGTAGCGCAGACGACCTCTGTCTCTTATTTCGGGTGAGCGCTTTCCCATCCGCGGAGGGGGTGGGAGGGAGGAGAGGGGAGCGCGAAGATCGGCTCCTCTTGTTCTGGCAGCGGAACGCGCTGTCCCCACAGGCGGGGGGTGGTGGCGCCGCCAGGAGCGCTGGGGAGCCGTGATAGGAAGCCGTGGCTGCTCTGGGGGGTTCCGCAGCTGAAGGTGTCGCTGCTGAGGGCAGCCCGTGTGCAGCCGGATCGGCCCCGCGGCGGGCTCTTCGCTCCGCAACCCGCAGGGCTGCCGTCCCAAAACCGGCCCCAGGCACGGGCCGCTCTGGCGCCTTCCGCCGCCTCTGATCCGCCCTGGCGCGACCCGGATGAGGAAGTGGTGTTGGGTGTGCGCCTGCGTGCGTGCGACAGCGGAATCATGGCGGACCCGGCAGCCCTGGAGGAGCTGGCCAAGCTCGAATACCTGTCCCTCGTCTCCAAGGTCTGCACCGAGCTCGACAACCACCTGGGCATCAACGACAAGGACCTGGGTGAGCGAGGCGGGCCTCAGCCCGGGGGTGGGCAGACACCCGGCGGGAGCTCCCGCGTTGCGGGCCCGACG